TCACTTAACCAACTGAGCCACCCAGGCGCCCCTCAAATGGCCTTATTTTAACAAGGTTTTTGCTTTTGACTCTGGAAGAAAAACCAGGACCTTGCATCTTTATCTCAGTGTTTGGAATTGTTATCCTATGAGCACCTGGGCTGCAGGGGAAGTTGGCAAACCCAGTATGTTAGCCTTCATCTTCCGTGAGAAGGCAGAAGGGGGTCGTGACAGGCTTTGAGGAGGCTGACCCACTGGGTGTGCCACCTCCCGTGCACAAGAGGACAGACAGTTCACCGTGCCTGGAGGGCATACGACTATGGAGTGCCAAAGCCAGAAGGCCAGACACAAATTTGTGATTCAAAAGCCTGTTCTTCCCACTGAGGCTAAAGACACAGCAGAGCCTGGCCATGTTTTCTGCAGGGTAACCCAGCTGCCAACAGGAGCCAGGCTTGGGGCTTGGCTCAGCATGCGATGAGCGTAGAGTGATGGGCCATCTCCCTGCCCCCCATTCATTCTTACTAAGTGCGGACAGTGTGCCAGGTAGTGTGCCCCTTGCTCGAGGACGCCTCATGAAGTAACAGGTTGGGGCCCTGCCCCTGGGAGCTCCTACTAGGCGGGGAGGACTCAGAGGGTGTCAGGGGGTCAAGGGCACAGCGGGAGGAAAAAGGGGCAGAACAGGCAGTGTGAAAAGCTAATGGGGTTCCTGTCACACATGTATGGAAACTGAAGCCCGAGAGGGACAGAAACTGCCCAAGGCTGCAAAGCACGAGAGCTAAGCTGGAGCGGTCCCAGGCACTGTTGACTCCCAGCTTGGGCTTTTCCCGACATTTCATGCTTCTTATGTCTGGATACAGAGGCAGAGCCGCCAGATGTGGCCGGAGAGCTCTCTAGTGATGTTCCCATTAGTAAGGATTACCTTGCCCACAAGCGGTAGAAAACTCAAAATAGTGGCAGCTTATTTTCCACCTAAGAAAGTGCAGGGGTGGGCAATCTGGGACTAATGGGCAGATCTAGGCTTCTGTATCTTGTTTCTCGGCCATTCTCAGCACAGGCTTACTTAACACTCTTAGTCTGAGATGAGCCTCGGCCAAAATTGCCACGTTTCAGCCAGCAGGAAGCGGGAAGGGGAAGAAGGGATCGAAGGCCCATGGCAGCCATCTCGAGATGCCACCACCCAACCCTTGGGCTTCCTTCCCATTGACCATATCTCAGTCACATGACCATGCTGAGCTGCAAGAGAGGCTGGGAAAGACAGTCTATTTGGGACAACCATGTGCCCAGCAAAAAAAATGGGGATTCCATCAGTAGACAGGAAGGGGGAAATGGATATTATCACAGTCTTTGTCGTTGTAATGACAGTTTGTGTTGTGGAGCACTTACAGTGTGTGGGGCATCCAGCTTCACAGTCCTACTATAGGAAGTCAGTGCAGTGATTCCCACTTTCTGGATGAGGGAATTTTGCCCCAGATCACAGTCCTTTCCCTGCCAGCCTGGGCCACACCCCACTGGGCTATTCTAAGAGAATGGGCTGGATCCCAGGACCTTTCTTGAGCTGGGCATCACAAATCAAGGCCCCACTGTTGGATGACTGCTCTCTCTGCATTACACTGCACTCTTGTCCTGCTGCATCCCTGTGCTGAGTGGACAGAGTTATCATCCAGGCCACAGATGAGGAGCCAAGCCTAACAGGGCCTGGCTGGCTCCCAGGTCCTGGAGTAAGCCTTGGGTGGCAAACCCTCTCCTGCCCCAGTCCAGGCTAATGTTTCACAGAGGCCCAGGAGCCCTTAGCTTCCCCTCTTGCAGGGACTCAGGGCCTGACAAACTCTAGGAAGCCCCCACCTCACCCTAAGGGAAAGGGCGGGGAGAGGCGTACCTCCCCAGCCTGCCAGGGGCTCCGTTCCTGTCTGCGCCCAGAGCTCAGAACTGTTCTTGCCCTGGGAGATCAGCATGGAGCATGGGGAGAGAAATGCAGGGCAATCAGTTTCCGTGGAGTTGGAGGGAAACTGCACGGAGTGAGGGACACATTAGAGGGGACCTACCCAGGTTTGGGGGCCATCTGAAGCCCTATGCTCTTCAGGTTCACCTCTCACCACTTGCCCCTCTCCAGTGCTCCAGCTGTGTGACCCATTTCATTTTGCCAATGTGCTGTTTCCCTTACCACAGGGCCCTTGCACAGTCTGTCCTCTCTGCCAGGAATACTATTTGAGCACCCTCTTTACCTTGTTCCTTCTCATCTGGGACTCCTATCATTTCCTCAGGAACACCTTCCCTCATACCACCCTTTCCACCAGACCAAGTCTCCCACAGTTTGCTCACTACTCCCCAGTCCTCTTGTCCCGTCTTCTCCCCAGGTGTGAACTCCATGGGCTGGGACCAGGGGCTGGTCTGCTTAATATTGTGCTCCACATACAGAGGGTGATCAGTAAATGTTTGAAGGAATGGACAGAAGTGGCCTCTAAGCTGAACTTTACAAATGAGTAGGAATTAGCTGAAGAAGGATCAGGAGAGAGCACTCCAAGCAGAAGGAATAGCTTGTGTCACAAGGTAACACCTGGGAAGGGTGTGAGGTGAGGCGGAAGAGGTGAGTGGGGGCCGTGTTAGGAGTTTGGAGCCGGGGCTGATGAGGTCAGCTATGTTGCAGCAAGCTTCCTCTGGGCAGGGGGAGACAGCTGAAGAGGGGAACAGGCTGCTGGGGCCTGGGTCAGGGCAGTGGAGAGGGGAGAGGCAGACAGACCGAGGAAACTAGGGCATTAAAATAAATACTGATAACTGGCTTCCAGGTTCTTCTGAAGACCAGCAGAAAGCTGCCTCCCTGCTCACACACACACACACACACACACACACACTGGACCCCTCCCTAGGCTACCCTCGCTCTTGCCCAAGCCCCCTGTGCCACCAGCTCACAGCCAATTCCTTCCCCTGGAGCCTTTGTCTACTTCTTGAAAAGAGGCAGCACCAGGCAGTGGGAAGAGCCAGCTTTGGAGCTGCTAGACTTGGGCATGAAACCCATTTCTGCCATCTATTGTCTATGTGACCTGGTGCGGGTCACTTTCCCTGGGCCTCACTAAAATGGTGGCAGTCACTGCCTGGCCAGGGTGGTTGTGAGGTAGATGTGAGATGCGACAGAGAGGCAGAGAGCACTGATGGGCCATCTGAGAGCAGAGGCTGCCCACATGTCCTGCTTGGTCTACACTTGCATTTTAAATTAACGGGCAGTATTTGAAAATCAGATTTCACTTTAACACCTAGATTTCAACCTGAGCCTTCCGGGCATTCCCGCACGAACTGCTCAGCGCCGTCCCTACGGGTGCTCCCCAACAACACCTTGTCCTATGGAGTACTCTACCGGGCCCCAGCAGGCATGGGGCCTGGGACCCCCAGCTTCCAATGTGGGGCCATCCTTTCAGCCTGCAAGGCTGGGATTAGGTTCCAGGTTCACAAGGGAAGGAACCAGGTGTCAAGAGAAAGTAATGCCATTGGCCAAGTTACCCAGCTAAGAAGTAAGGTCTGGTTGGACCCACAGATCTGACCCGCCTCGAGGCCCCACACTGCCCTCTGCCTGCTCTAGATCTGAATGCTGCTGGCCCTGGTTGACCCAATGGTCCCCGGGATTGTCAGCCCAGGCCCAGGGAGAGAACAGGCTCCCTGAGCCTCGGCTTCCTCCCCAGTCCATTGGAGCAGGTTAACTCATGAGCGCTTGTTGATGAGCACCCACAGGGACGGGGGCTGTTGCAGTACCGCGGTTACTAGGACAGTCCTGTCCCATTCCCTCCCGGACCTTACATTTGAGCAGGAAGAAGGGAGGAGAGGAAATGCTAAGCAATAGATACAATAAGTTAGTCACCTGGTACTGCGTTAGTACAAGCTGGTGAGGGATGAGAACAGAGTTAAAGGTATTGGGAACGTGGCATTGGAAGAGCAGATTGGAAGTCTTAACTGGTGTTGTCAGAACAGGCCTCTGGAGAAGGGGACACTGGAGCAGAAACGGGAAGGCAGTGAGGGGTGAGACTTGGGACATAGCTGGCAGAGAGGACAGCCGGTGTGAACCCCAAGACTGGCATGCCTGGGGCGTCAGCCATGGGCAAGAGACCACGTGGCGAGAGCAGAGGGTGCAGAGGCCAGAGGGAAATGCAGCGCAGGCAGGGATTCAAGCAGAGGGGAATGTGGACTCGCTCAGCTTGACGTCAGTCTGTAGGGCAGAAGGAGGAGCTCAGAGGTGAATTTTGGGCCGTCCCCCAGGCCAGGGATGCCGGAGGCTCACATCCCGCATCAGGGAGGCAGTGAGAAGTGGTCAGGATCTGGATGCACCTTGAAGACGGACCCAACAGGGGTTCCTGGCAGACTTGATGTGGTGCATGAGAGAAAGAGGGGCATCTCAGCTGAGCAGATTGGAAGGACGGAGTTGCCGTCAACTGAGCTAGGGACAGCTGTGGGAGAGGTGTGTTTGGGGTACAGAGGTGAGGCGCCGAGCTCTGGACGGGGCAAATCTGAAAGGCATAGTGGCCATCCACAGGGAGACCTCAGGGCCGGAAGTAGAATGGGAATGGTGGGTGTGCAGATGGAACATTTACCCTGGGAAGGAAGAGGGCCCACGGCCAGCCTTCCTATGTCCCCAGCTCTGGAGAGGAGGGGCCAAGCTGCCTGGTGACTGTAGTGTCCTCCTAGGAGATCATGCATGCCCTAAAGATGACCTGGCATGTGCACTGCTTCACCTGCGCGGCCTGCAAGACGCCCATTCGGAACAGGGCCTTCTACATGGAGGAAGGCGCACCCTACTGCGAGCGAGGTAGGTGGCCCCCCGGGGGTGGGGGGGCACAGGTAAGGGGTGGGGTGTGCGGCAGGTGAGAACCCAGGGCCCCCTTCCTCTCTGCCTCCACCCTCAGACTATGAGAAGATGTTTGGCACGAAATGCCGGGGCTGTGACTTCAAGATCGACGCGGGGGACCGCTTCCTGGAGGCACTGGGCTTCAGCTGGCATGACACTTGCTTTGTGTGTGCGGTGAGTTCCACCCCTCCACCCCCCCCGCCCGCCGCCTTGGACTCGGGTCCCCCTCCCCCGGCCCCACGCAGGGTTCTTCACCAGCCTCCCTTCCACTCCCTGCTTCTGGAATTCATGAGAGGTTGGGAAGGGGACTCTTCCTACCACCCCCAACCCCCGTGTGGCTTGAGCCTGGCTGTCCTCAGATATGCCAGATCAACCTGGAAGGAAAGACTTTCTACTCCAAAAAGGACAAGCCCCTCTGCAAGAGCCACGCCTTCTCCCACGTGTGAGCGCCTCCCACCCACGGCCACCTCATCCAGCCCAGCCCGAGGGAGCTCCAGTTCCAGGGCATCGCCCCAGATTTCTGGATAGGGCTGGCGGAGGTCACCCCAACCCCAACTCCTGGCCTGAGCCTGGGGTTCCCTGGGCCCTGCCCTCTCCCCTTCATTTCCCCGCACTCCCTCCACCTCCATCACACACTGGTGCTGGCCACACCAGCCCCTGTTCACATCCAGTGCCACAATAAACCTGTATCCAGCCGTGTCCTGCATGTGTTTCTGCCTGTGCCTTAGGGAGGCTGGGATTTGAGGCCCATGGCAGGGTGGAGATTAAGATGGTTTTCCCAGGGCTGGCTGTCCTGGTCATCCTTGCGATGGGGACTTAGACAGCTCATGGTCAGCAGGAGAAGGTCAAGGGGGATCCCATGTGCTAGGCCCCAGCACCCACGGGAGGGCTGCCTGATCGGGACTGGCTTGGGGGTCAGAGAAGAGGAGTTGGAGGTACATCTGCAGAGATGGGAGGTGGAAAACAGCGACAGCCAGAGTGAAGGCCCAGGGGTGCCAGCCAAATGCCACAGCAGAGGGTGGGGCTGGAGAGCACAGCCCCCGGGGCCTGGGAGGCCAGGCCAAGGAGCTGGGAGTGCGTCGTGAGGGCGAGGTGGGGGTGTCAGGGCACAGAAGAGCATGAAATAGTGAAGCAACTCGTTCAGATTTGTATTGTAAAAGAGCTCTGAGAGCTGTGAGCAAGGTGGACGGAAGGAGGGGGACTAGGAGGAGGGGCAGGGGCCACGGAAAGGGAGGAGCAGAAAGTGACTTGGCAGAGATGGAACCCAGGGAGCCTAGAGTGGGGGCCTGAGGGATGAGGGGTGAGGAGAGGCAGGAAGGCAACTCTGCTACGCATCTGGAATATACCAGTCATTGCTCACACCATCTCATGCCATCCTCACAGCCATCCTGGGAGGTGTCTACTTTCACTGTGGGAATGAAAGGTTAGGAGACCTGACCGAGGTTTCATAGCTCCTGAGCCATGAGCCAGACTGGATGCCAGACCTGAGTCTGGGCATCCTTCATCAGTGAGTGTGCCTTGGAAGCTCCCTTCTGCCTGCTGTCTTGAAGCTTGGAGGCTCTGGTAGTGGCCCATCTTTCTCTGGGGCTTCTTGCTTCCCATCGATACCATCCACCACCCTAGGAGAACTGTCGTCTCTCCCTCCCCTCTCAAGCCTGGACTGGAGAGAGACTGAGGAGAAGCCAGACTAGGGCCAGGACAACCTGGCATGGGGACCTTTAGCATGTCTGAAGTTGCTGGCATTCTCAGCAGGTCCTTGGGCCCATCCTTTTCAAGAGAAGAGATGGCCTCTCTGTTGTGTTCTCTTGAGGACCCCTGGAGCATGAGGGCAGGGCTTCCTGTGTCATTTTCATCACGCCTTGCCAGAGCCTGGAACAGTGCCTGGCACACAGTGGATGCCCAGTGAATGTTTGTTGAATGACTGGATGGGGTGCCTGTGGGACATTTATGTGACAAATTCAGGGAGTAGATGAAGATTCAAGTCCATATTCACCTCAGATTCAATTCAGGAATGAGTTTGGGACAGGGCCGGGGAGGTCACAGATGCATGTAATTGATGCCCAGAGAGCGAGAGGAGCAGGGGCCCAGGCAGGTCACAGCAGGAGTAAAGCAGGTAAGATGCGGTGTCCTTTCAACTGAGACATCCCTAGCATATTAAACACAGTATCTTTCGCTTCCACAAAGAAATGTACTCTCTCCCACTTCTCTTGAACCGTGAAGCCCTCTCAGTCCATCCTTGGTTTCCATGGATACAGGTGAGCAAGAGCACAGGGGAAGATGGTGAGAGCTGCTGGGAGCAGTCTGGGGGGAGTCTTCTGGGGGCAGCCACTCTCGGCCCCAAGCAAGGGCCACCATGTAGGAATGCCCAGCTGTGCCAGATCTGACAGTTTACCAACAGAATCCAGAAATTCAGACTTTTATGTGAAATCTGGCTTTTGGATGTTGGCAATTAAGTTCAATTCTTTTTTAATCTGTTACAAAAATAATAAACATGGAACAAATCCAGCATAAGGACAGCAGGGGAAGAAATGAGAGGCCAGGAAGCAGCAACATCCCAGAGGAAGCAGACAGATGACAGCATCTGGAGAGCTCAGGGCAGGGAGGCAGGGGCAGGGCAGGAGTGTTTCCAGAAGTCGCCAACAGTGTGTCATCCAGGCAGATAAGGCCAAAGAGTCCCCATTGCATTTCTCAACAAAGCGACCATGTTTGCCAGATCAGTTTAGCAGAGAGCTGGGGCAGCAGGATGAGAGGAACAAGGGGCAGGGCTTGCGAGATGTGGAATGAGAGGAGGTGAGAGAGTGTAGACAGCTCTTCAGAGGCTTGGCTGTGGTGGGCCAGGAGGAAGCCGGACCACTAGCAGCCAGGGGCAGCTGGACAGCCCCGATGGGTGGAGGGAGGAAGCTGGGAGGCTTCTGCCCAGGGAAGGTGGTTGAAGAAAGGGAAGTTGGGGGAGGGGGTGGACAGGGAGGGGAGGGTGAGGAGCAGAAAACTGGGGGCCCGAATCTCAGGAAAGAGGAGCTAGCCTAGATGGAAGTAAACACAAGCATGGGGTACCGCTTTGAATGCTCCCTCCCTCTGCCAGGAACCACAGAGCAATAGCTTATATATAATTTAATCATAGAAAATCACTTAAGAGGGATGCAATTAAAGGCATGTTTCAGATGAGGGAACTGAAGCTCGGAGAGTGAAAGTGACCTGTCCAGAGCCCCCCCAGCCAGAATGGCCTGGGTCTGCTGCTCCAAGGATCAAAGGCTGAAGTGCTCCCCACTGCACCTCCCCAAAGAGCTGCAGGGATCACGGTGTTCCAAAGCTGGGGTGTGAGGCTGTGCAGGTGGAGGCTATGGGGACTGGGAAATGTCCTTGTGCCAGGCAGGGGAGGCCATTAGCGCCCTTGGAGAGTACAGTCTCCAACCAAGGGGGCAGAGCCCCACGGCGGGGGCATGAGTGGGCAACTGGAGAGGCAGCAGGCAGGGGAGGGGCTTTTGCCAGCTCTGAGCGGTTTGAGCTCATTTGAAGTCAGCGGGGAGAGAGGCAGTGCAGGGCGAGGGACTGTTCCACCGGAGGACAGAGTACAGAAAACTGATGATTCTGGGGCTGCCTCCTCAGTGCCAGGTCCCACGTGGCCTTGGAACATTCACAGTCCTGTGGGCCCTTCCAAGCAGCCTGGCTAGGGAAGGGGAGCTGAGGCCGTGGGCTGAAAGGCCGGGCCCCACAACACGCAGGGACCAGCCGCCAGGCGGGGATTCCAACAACCCTGTGAGTGGAGGAAGGGCCCCTCCCTAGCAGGGCCTAGAGGAGGTGGGGACCAGGGCTCCAGGGGCCACAGTGGAGCAAGAAGCTTGCTGGGAGTCTGGGAAGAACTCGGAGGGGGGGGGGGCGGGGCCAGCCCAGGGAGATTGTGCGGTGAGGTCACCACAGAGTGGCCAGGGAGGGTCCTCCCTCTCAGGGCTGGGGCAGGGCGGGGCACCATAAGGCCAGCTCAGCTTTCACCCACGTCCTTGCCGCAGACAAAAATGACTACTACTTGGGGATTAGGTAGATTAGGAAGGACTCTTTCAGCTGCCATTCAAACTAGTTTTAGCAAAAACAGGGAGAATTTGTCTCATTTAACGGGAAAGGTCAATGACAGTGGGAGTCTCTCTGAGCTTGCTTTCTCCCTCACTCTCCATCTCTCAGCTCTGATTTCTTCATGCTGGCTGTATTCTCAGGTGGGTCTCCCCATTATTGGCAAAGATGCCCCTCAACGAGCCCCAGGCCCACATCTTGCCAGCTCAGTAGCCCCAGTGGAGCCTTTCTTAATGGTTCCAGCAATAGTCTTAGAGCTGACACCCATTGGACTGACTTGGGAGACGTGTCCCTCCCTAAAGCAGTCTCTGCATCTGCCCACCGGCCTGGACTACATGCTCCCATCTGGAGCCTGCAGTGGAAAAGCAGCCAGAAGACAGCGACAGGGACACTTAACCATGGACATCCACAGCACTGGGCACACTTCCTCCCCTCCGAGTCCTGGACCACCACCACCACCCCCAGCCCTGTGAGTCCCACCCTCGTCTCTACAGCTGTAGCCTCAAGAACTACTTCTGACCAAACTCTAGGCTAGGCCACACCCCCTGGAAATGAGGGTGCTAGGAGGGGAAGCAGGGAGAGCCTGTGGTGTGAAGTGACATGGGACAGACCTGGGTTCCCATCCAGACTTTGTCACTCACCAGCTGCACGCCTCAGGGCAAGTCACTGCTCCTCTCTGAGCCTCAGTTTTCCTATCTGTAAAACAGGAATAGCAGCCAACACATCAATAGCATCTACTATGTGCAGTTGCCATTTTAAGCACGTTCTACTTTTTTTAAATCCTCAGACACTATGAGGTAGGCACCATCATGATCATCCCCATTTTATAGTGGAAGATGAGTGAGACGAGAAAGGTCCAGCAATGAGTCTAAGGTTATACGGTTGGCAAAGTCTGTGCGGTGACAGCAATGGACTTAGCAGGAGCAGAGCTAGTTGGTCAAGTGGCTGGCCCCACGCCAGGGGCCGATGCCTGGGAAATGCGGGGAGCACTGGAGTGATAATGGGTACTCTTGAAGGGGTGCTTGGTTGGAACTTGGCAGAGGCAGGGTGAGGGCAGAGAGGCTCTACCAGCTGGTGCTGACCGCGTGCTGAGGCCAACATGTCAGCCTTGAAACCTTCCCTGAGAGTTGTGGGGAAGCACAGAACGGGAAGATGGGAAGATGGGAAGATGGGTGTGGAAGGTGGGAAAGCCAGGCTTCGAGGAGGAGGGGAGGGGTTTCTCACCTTTTAAGCCTCCACCCAGTCACATTTTATCCTTATAAGTCATCAAAGAGGAAACTCACAGACGGGAAGCCTTTTAGCCAAGGTCACACAGCCAGTGACCAGCTTCTGGATCTGAATCCTCCCTCTTTCTTGTCTTTTCTACTCCAGGAGCCACAGGACCAGCTTCCCAGTGTGGAGGGGAACTTGCACTCTAGGGATGGGAGACACCCAATATGTTAGTGACGTGAAGGGTGATCAGTGCTGGGAGTGGGAGACATGAAAGCCTGGGGGGGCGGGTACCTCCAAGGAGGCACTGAGACCCACCCATCAAGGCTGGGCACATGGGTTTGTTTCGGGGGTAGCAGGTGGCTGAAGAAAGGCAGATTCACAGAGGAGAGGGAGATCAGTGGTCACCTTCCTCCCACTGGTAAAG